GTCTTACACTGCAAAATTGGGGACGGCTAGCGCAGATAGCCTTCGTGTAGCTTTGCGCGAAATTCAGAACAAACAATCCTTAACAATTTATTCAAAAACACGCCTTTGTGTACTTTCCTAGCAAATTTGTTGATGTGGGCCTAATAAATAAAAGTCCAAATTATTCCTTATATCTAAGGAGTGATTAAGTTTTTTGAATCAATTCTCTGTCATCGCCTTAATGAATGATGAAATACTTATATAACTCGAAACTACAACACTCAATTGGTTGGTATTTAAAATATTAGAGTTGCTTTACAGTTACTGATATACAAACTTACCTTAGCCTCAACCTAAAATATTTTGAAGTTCTTTGACGACCTTAGATGATTTTAAGTTTGTACCAAGCAAGCATTAAAAGCTTTACCTCAACTTCTACACTTACGTTTCAAGATAATTTTAAATAAATTTCTTGCCACAAACTTATGCTATAATGAACGTATACATTACGTTATTAATATTTAAGTTTTTATACATGCAGTGTTACCTGAAGATTTATCCTTTTGACTGCCATGCTAAACATGAAGTCACTGAGGCGCTGAGCAGAGAGTCTTGTTTCCAATAGCGACATTCCTTCTGGATCCACAGGAAGGAGAATTAACATTGACAGAAAACCACCCTTGAGAGGAACTTCTATGGCTGTGCAGTTGAGGTAACTATCCACACCGTATCGTACTCGGGCATTCTTGGCTTCCATCAGTACTGGGCCATTACTGTAGCCAATGCTGTTGATTTCTAACTCGGGAGGGACGTCTCCTGAAGACGAATCGTCAGTGATAGATATCTTCATGTTCAACAACCCTTGAAAGTAGACTCCGCTCAAGAATAGCATATTAGTAGTTTTCTCTGGGAGGTCAGGAAGAATATCCATAATTTTACTAGCTGTTTCTTTGGCTACAATGGCGTTTATGTGATTTCTTGTCTCCTCTCCATTTCTACAGAAATCCACGGAATGAGCTGTTATGTTGTAATACTTATGGAGGAAAACCTGGAACGGGTAGCTGATGCTATAGTCCCTTTGGACGTATAGAGAACTATAAAACAGTAGACCATTTGTGTCATCTTGACGAAAAGAAGACCTAAACCTATGGCTATTGTATCGATGGACCAAAGAGGCTTGAAGATTGTCTGCGAGGTGAAGAAGCAGGTCGTGAAAAGCCTCATGTATCTGTTGAGGATGCATTCCCCAAAGATAGAGGGCATGACGAAGCGTCAAAATGGAATTTCCACGTGAGCCTATCATTACTGCAGCCAGAGTCGTACTAATACTTAATGGACTAAATGCCACATTACTGCCGTTGACCTCTTGTTCCATCGTCCTCAAAATGTCCATTCCTAGCTGGTTTGTAGCAAAGGCTACCTTCCTCATGGCATAGGATAGACACAGTACTGATGTGGTCAGTGTCATTAACACTGATAACCACAAAAGGAGTCCACACCTTCGCATTCTGGTGATTGTAACGCACTGTTTCTGTAGAGTAGAGTAGAGTAGACTGTTAATTACTCCAAGTTTATGTAGCAAACTTTAATGGCTAACTTTATCAGTAACAAATAATTTCATAAAGAGATTTATCTGCTAATCGCCTGAAGGTTTTTCTGAAAATCTACTTTCATAATCCTCATTCATATATATCCTCATTTGTTTAAAGCCACTTATTTTTACATAACACCACTGCCTCTATTTAAAATATATGCTACATAAATCCTTTTGACACTTTGTTCTTTGTTAATACATGTTACATAAATCCTTTTGACACTTTGTTCTTTGTTAATACATGTTACATAAATTCTTTTGACACTTTGTTCTTTGTTAATACATGTTACATAAATCCTTTTGACACTTTGTTCTTTGTTAATACAT